TTGCCAATAATACCATGAATCAACAAATTTAATTTTTATCAAATAAAAAACTTTGTACAGCAAAGGAAACAATAAACAGAATGAAGAGACAACCTACAGAATGGGAACAAAATTACTAGCTACTCCTTGGATGAGAATTAATATCTACAATATTCAAAGAATTCAAAAAAATTAGACCCTTCCCAAATAAAAGACTCAATCAAAAAATGAGCAGTTGAAATGAATAGACACTTCTCAAAAAAGAAATGCAAATAGCCAATAAGTACATGAAAAATGTTCAGCATCTTCGGCTGTTAGACAAATACAAATCAAAACACTAAGATTCTTATTCCAGAAAGTATGTTATCTTCATGAAATCAATAATAACAAATGTTGGTAAGGAAGGAGGAGGAGAAGGAGGAGTACAAGGAGGAGAAGCAGAAGCAGAAGAGGAAGAAGAAGAGGAAAATGGAGGAGGAGAAGAAGAAGCCTTCTATGTTGTTGGCAGGGATATAAATTAGTATGATCACCATGGAAATCAAGACAGAAATTCCTCAAAAAAAATATAAATTTCATTTGACCCTGCTATTCCTGTTCTGGGCAACTTCCTGAAAGAGTTAAAGTCATAATACTGCAGTGATACATGCATGTATATAAGTAGCAGAATTCACAATAGCTAAATTATGGAATTTTGTGTCCATCAACAGATACTACTCAACTATATAGAAAGATAAATCTGAGTCATTTGTAGGAAAACAGATGGCTCTTAAGAGACCACAATGCTAAGTGAAATAAATCAGAGAAAAAGTATTGCATGGTTTCTCTTATATCAGAAGCCCAAAATTATTATAAATACACAGCAAAATAAAGGACAGATGGCAGGGACTAGGCAGAAAGATTTTGTAGAGAGGGGAAGGTGATGAAGGGAAGGGAGAAAGGAGAAGGTGGAGACAGGAGTGGAGGTAAAAATTCTTAAAACAGGATAGTTTTAGATACCAATTTCCTAAAATCTATGTGATTATTATGTATCACAAACATGTATCAACAACAGCCAGGTGTGGTGGCACATGCCTGCAATACCAGCATTTGGGAAGGTGAGGCAGGAAGACTGCTGTGAGTTCAAGGCCAGCCTGGGCTACGTAGTGAGTTCGAGGCCAGCCTGAACTACATAGTGGGACTCTGTCAAAAAAAAAAACAAAAAAAAAAAACACCCACACAACATATATCAATAACAACAGAAAGGGTTATATGTAATGATTTTGCTTATAAGTGATTATATATTCTCAATATGAAAATTTTTAATAAATTTCTTTCTGACTTCTACCACATGCCAAAAACCTGATTCTAAAATTTGTAATTCCTCAAATTCTGAATTAATGTACCTTAGTGAATGATAGAACCATGGAACAGCACTGGTATTCACAAAACAAAACAAAACAAAAACAAAACAAAACAAAAAAAGGCACACAAAAAAGGATTAAAGGGACTTTTCCTCCTTTGCATAGCATTATTAAATCTTGGGACTGAAAAAACTCCATAAAACTGCATTATAATAAGATATCTAGATATAGTTTACTGTGTTAAAATTATTTCTACTCTCTGGAAGCCAAGAGCTTCCTTGTTAAAGTGTAAAATGAGATTTCACCTCCTTACAACTCCTTGTTGTCACAGCTGAACTGTCACAGCATGAAAACATTCCCCTACTGGTGAAGGTTTAGATAGCTATTTCCTTGATGAAAGAGTGTAAAAGGAACTGATAGAGTTATTGACAATTCATACAGTATCTCATACCCCATTAGAATACAACTACAAGCAAAGAAATATTTTAATCTGAGGGAAATGGGTAACAATGTTTTGCATAATTGCTGACTTTACGGAGCAGTTTAAAAATGACAAAAGACTCGATTCTACCAGGTTCATGACTTAGGGATCTAATTATAAATCTAATTTTTTTTCCTGTTTTCTAAATCAAAGGATAATCAAAAGTACACTGAAGAAAACATTTCCTGTGTTACTGCAAAGTAATTCTCAGAGTATGCAAACATAAATGAAAAGAGCATTTTAGTTTAGTCCTTCATTACCTTCCATAAAACCAAACAGCTTCGAGATATGAATTAGACACCATATCATGTATTTATTTGAAATGTTTGATTCAATGACATTTAGTAAATATACAGGTGTGCAACTTTTCCCACAATTTAATTTTAGAACATTTCCTTTGTTCCTTTAGAACAAAGCCTTTAACATTTTGATATATGATACTATATTTCCATAAAGTTACTGTATATTAATTCCATGCCACACACATTTCTGCAACTGAGCAGAAAAAGCACAAACTAACTTTGCTTTTAATGACCTTTACAATCAATCCTCTCCTCTGGCACTGGGAAGCAAATGTTCAGGTGCTTTCCCTGAAAGTTAAACCATTCTAAGTATTAAGTTATGGCACACGGTCTTGGAAAGAAATTAATTATATTTTTGTTGGTAACACATTTCAGGTTGTTTACACAGCTGACATTTCTCAGCTGTACCCAATTCATGCCCTAAGCTGTGAGGACTATCTTGTTTTGTAGCAGATGCCTCCACGCAATTTTAGCAAGTATAGAAATATCCCTGCCTACAACAATATAGATTACAACCACTAGCTTTGTAAGTTTTCATAGTCGTAACAAAAGACTTTATGACATTTCTTTGGCTAGGATCTCCTAAAAATCTACAATTAACCAAGCCACTTTTGCTTAAACTCAAGCACTACAGCTAATGTTATGGCTCCAGTTAAAGACAGCTTGGCCCTAAACATCTTTGTTGTATCAAATCATGCAGCTCAAAGCAATATCCCGCCAACGTGGCAACATTTGCTCTGGGGAAGTCTGGGCAAGGAACACTTCACAGGTTCTGGGACAAGGTGTAAATACGAATAATGAGGCAAAAAGAATCAAGCATCTTAATGGGGAATTCCCTCTTGTGCTTGCTGTGATTTAGATACAGCACCAACTAGCATTATTCTGAATATTTTTAGTTTTATCTGCTTTCCATATTTTCCCATAATAGTGAAACTATATTACAACTATTTGGTTAAAAGTTACATATTATAAAAGTCATTAAAATATAGGTCTCAATGAATCAGCACCTAAAATATGTCAGGTATTTTGTTACAGGAGAATTGATCATTTTTCAGTAAATTCCAATTTTGAACTTGTACCTGATGAGCCTATTTTAGTCTATTTCCCACAAAGTGGTGTCCAACTCATTTTTGCCTAAACTCAAGCACTGGAGCTAGTGGATCTGCTCTGAAGCTTGTGCAGTTCCACATTTCTGGACTTTCTCTATTTCCCTATATCCTCCCTCCCACTCCAATTAGGTAATTACTTTTGCTTTCAACTTTTTATTATGGAAATCTTCAAACATAAAAATCCAGTATGTGTAGCATTAAGATCCAATGATAATATACAGCTAATCTATCTTACCTCTGTCCTCACTGTTCCCGTCACTCTGCAGGTTATTTGCAGCAAATCTCAGGCATGATTTAAATCAGTCAGTTCTTGCCTATGTTCCTTTTTGAGTTTCAGTATCTAAGCATTACTTACAATATTGATGATTCTCATTCATTCAGTGTCTACTGTGAACTAGGTGGGGAAATATGTTATCCCTAATCTTCACAACAATGGTGCAAAGTAGCAAGATAGCAAACTGGGAGAATTTTAATGACACGTCCAGATTTTAATTCTTTCCTTTTATTAATGTTATTATCTCTTATAATAAGTTCTTAGATAATGCTAAGAACATGTCTAGTTTGTTCATGTCTCCTTAAACAACTCTTTAAATAAGTATTGCCATTTTTTAAAATCAAATTTCTAACCCTAACAGGAAAAAAACAGTGAAACAACAGCTACTTAAAAACAAACAAACAAATAAAACTACAGCTCTATTTGTAGCAATGGTAAACCAGTCAACAATTCCGGAGATATAATATTAATGCTTGGGCCTGGGGATATAGCTCCGCAGCACAGCACCTGCCTGGCAAGTGCAAGGCCCTAAATTCGATTTCCGGTACAAAAAAAAGCTAAAATAAACTGTTCAGAAATGAATGTAATTGCCTATATCTAAACACTTTTCTTCTGGAAGGGTTTGCTAAAAGTTAAATAAAAGTTTTGCTATTTTCTGATTATTTTTAACATTCTGCAATTCACAAAGCATTTTCTAAAAGCACAGGGGGGGTTTGTTTTTTTTTTTTTCTTTTTTGAGACCCCATCCCAAAAAGACAAAACAAAATAAAATGTATGGTGGTGGTGCTAGAAGAGCAGGAATAGTTAGTATCCAAAAGTACAGTCTAGTATAGGAAAGGTAGACTTAACTATAATGATTAGGTTGATTTTGAAATATCTACAATTAAGAAAAATATAATTTTTCTTAAGCTTTCAGAATTTTGTTAGTAATATCCAAATATATCAAATATAATTCTTTTTTTGTGTATATATGGTACTGGGGGTTGAACAGAGCCTTGAGCATACTAGGGAAGCATTCTACCACTAAGCTACAACTCCAGCCCTTTCACTTTATCTTTTATTTTGATACCAGGTTTCACTAAGTCGCCCAGGCTGACCTCAAACTGGAATCCTCCTGCTTGGGTGAATATATTCTCTGTTTTGTTTTTTTTTTTTTGTACCGGGAATCAAACTCATGACCTCAGGCTCACCAGGCAAGCACTTATGCCACTAAGCTATATCCCCGGCCCAAGGGTGAATATATTCTTATCAAGGAAAAATTTAAGACAAATCAGACAGCATCAAGTTCCTGACACTGACACTGTAACATTACCATTGTAATGATGTGTTTGGATATCAGTTCTGCAAATAAATTCAAATTATTAAAACTGTTCTTATTTTCATATTATTTCACTTATAAGGCTTTTACAATGGAATATTCAAAGTATTTGATTCTCCTAGTTTTCAAAGCCAATCAGACTGACAGTGGCAAAAAAGAGAAAAGGATATAAAACTAAGAACTTGACTGTTACTTACTGAATCATCTGTGGCAGAGGGTGGCCAGCCCTCCCATAACTGATGTCGAACGGGTATGCTTGTAAGGTCATACACATTTCTTTTTACCTATAAAAAGAAAGGACACAATTAAAATAGAGCTTCCACATTACTTAAGATAGTTTTAGTCAATTTACGTAACATACAACGCATCTGTTTTTTGTTCTAGATTTAAAATAAGAATTTTAAGATAAAAAAACACAAGTCAGAAAAAAATCATGTAAAAATGAAACAAAGCCAAATTTAAAGGCAGGATTTCAGTGAAGGTTTGATGAAGTAATGCTTCAAGAAAACCTCCTCTTCCTTGATTGTTTTTTGACTCCTGGCTGAATGCACATTTCTTTTCAGTCTAGAAACTTTGGGCACACAGTTCACCTAGGACAGACTACAATTATAAATGCTTATAATTTATTTATTTTGAAAACTGTGAAATGATTAAAAAAATATATTTCAAGTTTCTACTTGGGAGAGAAAAGTGGTTTTTGTGGGGGTGGGGTGGAGTTAGGAGTTGAAAACGCCTTTTAAAATGTAAGCTTCTAGGATAAAAACTTAATAAAGTAGCATAGGTCATTACCTTGAAATCACGCAAAATTAAAAACTTATCAACAGAATATTTTCTAATATAGAGCTATTTATGAATACACTGTTAAGGCCCTTACTGAAAAGAAAACAGATTAAATTCTATTAAACATTAAGAAAAACTATCTTTCCTAGTAGCAAGAGCATATCTTTCACCTTTAAAAGGAGAGGAAGGAATAACACATCAGAAGAAATGATGTATCTTTAGCAGTTGGTTGGACTTAGACAAGCAGTATTCATTCATGTTTTTAAAATGAAGAAATTTAAAGTATTATGTTGTCCAATTACAGCATTTTGTTATCGTATTACTCTTTCTTATACATAAACACATCTAAGTTACCATTCCAGTGAAACAGAGATATATGTTCACTAGGGAAAGAAAAAAACCAAAACAAAACATGGAACTCAATCTATTTTTATCTCCACTGTACACCTGTGGAAGAAAGACTTAGTAAGAGAGATTTGAGGAGCCTGAAACATGGCTTGATCTCCACTCAATTCAAACAGCTTTTCTTCAGAGGTTAGCAATGGCCTGTTTACCATGCAGTATTTTCTTCACATCAAGTTTGGAAAAATTTATCAGTCATTATCAACCCAACAATTTTACCAAATGTAACTACTGGCTTAACCTCCGATCACTTTCACTAGCTGAGACAACTCTATCATGTCTAAACATCTGTGTCCTTAAGGAGAAAGGTGTTCCACAAACCCAGAGTATTATATTAGTAAAAGAGAGAGAAAAGACAGGAAAGGAGCATGAGGAGTCTTTAGGTTTCAAGGCAAAAAGTTCCTTCCTTAATAAATTATTCTTGGACTGTCCAGATTCATGAAACCTAATCAGCTACTTTTGATAAAACACAGAAAAAAATTTCTATCTTTTGAAAAGATGGCAAGGGTACCCTAATACTGGAGAGTATACACAAGTCCTATGACTACATAAACAAATAACTTTGAAGTAAAAGTCTTTAAATTCTCCCTTAATTCCAGAACGTAACAATAGGGTATTATGAAATGAACAGTATTTTCTTCTTTCATTAACTCATCTGTAACTGCACTGAATTGAATAACATTCCTTTGCTATTCTAAGCCTGAAAAGCATGTTCTGGCTATAGTGTTATGTTGGTATAAAGCACAATGCCAGACTGATGTGCTGAACAAAAGTGATCAAAGTTAGAGTAATGTTAGCCATTGCACAAGTATTTGGCTTCATTGTTCTCCCCAGAATGACATCTGTTAAGCAACTTGTCATAGAACAAACTGGTTAATACAGACAGAACTTGGCTCAGAGAGTACCATGTAAAGCATATTAGGCCAATGTTTGATTGTTCCAATGCAAAGGCTAAATTCAGAGTACTCTGAGATTAAGCCAAAAGAATCTTGTGTTCAACCACAATCACTAAACAACAATTTAAGTAACAACAAATTAGCTTTTCAAAATTAACTCCATGTTTATCAAAACTGTAATGGTGATTTCAGTAATACAGATATAAAAATTTCATTATCTTTATTGATGTTTATTGTCAAAATTTCAAAGTATAATTCTGCTGGGAAGGAAAAAAATTCAAAATGTACACAAAGCAAAAGTATAAATATTTTTAAAAATTAGTATTCTAGGAAATCTTTTTTTTTGTTTGTTTTTGTTTTGTTTTTTTTTTTGTTTTTGGTTTTTGGTTTTTCTCCGGTGCCGGGAACTGAACTCACGACCTTGCGCTTGCCAGGCAGGCGCTTTGCCGCTGAGCTAAATCCCCAGCCCCCTCTAGGAAATCTTAATAATAAGAGACAGTTGTGTAGAAAATGATACACATAAATTTAAAGTCACCATGAATCAGATGAAAGATACAGTTCTCACAGAGGGGGAGATAAAGAGAAAGGAGAAAGAGAAGGTGGAGAAAGAGAGAAGATGGAGGGTAAAGAAGGAGAGGGAGATGAGAAACAGACAAAAGAGAGTGGGGAAAGAAAGAGTGTGAAGGAGAACAACTGATTGATTTGAGAGATTGGAGAGCACTTAGTGAGGCAGAAAGAACACAAACAGAGGCTGAGGTGCTGTGGCTGGCATGCCCTGCTGCCATTACTGTTCTGCTTCTTCTGATGGAGTTTCATCTTTAGAGACTGTTAAATTCTAGTTAACGACAAGTGGCACTTCACTGGGTAACATTTCTTAAGGGTCTTTTTGTCTTATAACTCTTCATTGCTCACTATTGGCTCAAGATCATGCTGAACCTTCATAAGCTTTTCAATTCTTATTTTGCATTAAGGCCTAAATTTATGAGATTTCAGGCTGCTAAACTATGCAAATGTTTCAATTAGTTCTGAAGGAACTGAATAAAAGCTTTAACAGCTGAATATTAACATTTTGTTACAAATGAAACTGTATTTGAATCAAGCATTCTAGATTGACAACAGATCTTCTAGAGTGTGTTTTCTAGACTCTTAAAAGGGGCAATTTAATTTTCCCCTTGTGTTTCAGATAAGAAAATTGTGACTGAGAAAAAAGTAGAAGTCAGATTAACTTGAAACAATATAGCATTAATATAGTACTGGTTTATTTCCCTATTTGCATTTCATTGTTAACAAATATCCACTTACTATCATATAAAACGCTAAGCAATGTTTTCTACTTCAAAGTTAGTATTTTGTCAATATCTTTGAAAATTTCAATGCTAAACACAACACTGGAGAAAAGATCATTTTATTACAACCTGCTCAATATAAAATTATAAAAACTATATTCACAAGCTATCTCCCACAAATTTTTCTGTTGATTCACTTAATTTTTGAAACAGGTTTATTTTTCAGTTAAATCTCACCAGAATTTTCTAGAGGAATAATTCTTAGGAATTTACTCTGCTAAAGGCTTCATTTTAAGGTTCAGATTAGATTCAAATGAGTTCTTCCTACTCTTCAAATTGAAAAAGATACAGCTTAGTATATAACATTTCAGTTACAATAAACACATTCCTTGTGAGCTAAATGTTGGTTAAACTTTTTAAAAACATGTCACAGAATTTTAATATCATTCTGATATTACTGAAAGACAAGTAGACTGTGATAGCAGAAAATAACAACCACAGTCTGAGGTGTGGCATGAACAGAAGCAGAGAACCAGATTTCTAGTCCTAATTCTGCAGGACTATTACTTGGGGGAAACTGATAGAGACCTTTCCTGAGATTTAGTTTACTCAATCTTTGAAGAGAATAAAACATGATCACTTCTGATTTTCAAAGCTCTAAAACCTAAAATTTCATAAAGATATTTCATGAGTTAATCCTAGGTATAAAAAAGAACTAAATATATTCAAGACAAAGAAGCAGTGAAGGAAAGTTTACAATTAAGGCTAGAAAATGGAACAAGAGTTAATAAATGTAAAAGAAACATTAAGAAGCAAAATTCCAACAATTTCAGGTGAGAAATAAAGAAAAAATAGCACTTCAGGTGAATTTTTTCTTGGATGAAGTATTAGTTTTTTAACTTTTCATGTACTTTTTTAAAAAGCTAAGTAATAGTTTTGCATCATGAAATCTCACTTAAAAATAAAGCCTGTCACACTAATTTCCCAAATTATTCCTTCAACCAAATGTTACCAAGGAGGCTTGATAACAAGGTTTTGCCAAGGTTTTGTCAGAAGACCACTTACCTAAGTGTTATAGTTATAAAACTTTATTAATTTATTTCACCATTTAAAAATTTTTGAAACATGGCCCAGGATTCGTCACATATCTAACATTTTAATATATTAAAAATAAACATGATTTTAGAAGAGATGTCAACTAGCTCCGTAGTTTCTAGATTTTCTGAATTAAGATATTATGGCACGTTATAGCCTTCACAAAAAGTATCTTGACACTATAGACATTTATCTCATTCTATGATTGTTACAAATTTTAAATATATCAAATTATGAGCTCCCAGTACTTCAGACTATCAAATAACATTCTGGTTAAGGATTTCCTAAATAATAAATGCACTGAACAAGTAAGTATTTGTATATGTGTTTAAATCAAAATAAGGCCTACACACTAGGCTCACTTCCAGTTTCCTAGCAATCACTGGTGCTCTGAAAAGCTTATTTGGTTGAGAAACCAATCACTTCTGATTCACAGTAGGTTTTAAACATATACTTTATATCTAATGCATGCTATCTTTTTTTTTTTTTTTTTTAACATACTGCACATGCATTGTAGTTGCACATGGAATTATTTTACTAAGACGCAAGTTAAATCCTCCTAAAAATCCTTCCGGAACAAAAAAATGCTTGAAACCGGTTGGTGTAAGGGGAATGAGAAGGTGGCATCAGTAATCAAATGTTAATTAGCAAGCTTTTTTTCTTCCTTCCCCCAGGGCTGGCCTGTGTTGGAGAATTCAAATCAGAAATCAATGCTCTAAGTGTTTAACTATTACTTCTTCTCATTAACCATTTGAAAGACCAAGCAATTCTCTCCTCATAAAAACAGTAACTTAAGACATTTCTTTTTCTCAAATTCTCAAATAC